AAGAAATAAGAGGTGAAAATTATAAAGGAGGAAGAAAAAGTAAAAATAATAATTAAAAAAAAAAAAACAGCGGAGGAGAAAGAAAAGGCGAGAAAGAGAAGGAAGAATGTAAAGACGATCCGTAGTCCGGGAGGTGAAGGGAGAGCGCCGAGCCCCAGCTCCTCTCCTCGCCTGACAGACAAGCAGAGGGGCGAGTGCAGGTCCCTGACCTACCGCGAACATCTCGAGGAGGATTTCAAAAGCACCAACTTAATTTCTAAAGCAATTTTCCTGCGGCTGAATCGGCTGCGACAGCTCTTCCCGCCCTCTCCAGATCGGAAAATGGGAATTTTTTTTTTTTTTTTAAACCTTGTTTCTCTACGTTCTGCGCGGGAAATGAAAAAAGCGAAAGAGATATGAGGAGGGAAATAAGATGCTGGAGGGCAGCTATTTTCCAAAGTTACGAGACAGGAAAATGTTTTCAGGTCGGGCACTGGGGCACAGGCATATTGGGCGTTATTATTAAATCCTAAATTCACCGTGAAAATGGGAGTTTCTGCGCAGTCACAAGGAAAGGCCAGGGCAGTCCCGGAGGAAAGATCGAACTATTGGAAAAGATGCTCTTGATGTCTAAAGGTGGTTTCTATAATCCAGGTTGATTTATTTTTGTTCGGGGCTGCGAGAAACTAGAAAGAGAAAACAAAAAAACTACCGGAGAAAGGAATAAGATCTTGACCTTTCCTAATTCTCCAAATCGGCAGTAATGGAAAGCAGAAGGTGCCAGGGGAGGAGGCAGGAGCTGAGGGCCGAGCGGGCGGTGCAGCGGGGTCGGCCGGGCCGGGGTCCCGCACCCGCAGCCGGTGAGGGAAGAACCACTCGCTTCCCTCCTCGGGATCCGCACCACTTAACACAGGCTTAGTTAAGCGAAAGCAGAGAAAGAAATTACACACACACAGCCCTCCCGCTGTGGTCCCGACGGGGATATTCCGGGGCAGGATCGTTTTATCCCGCCCCGACAAACCCGAGGAGAATCCCCCGTTTTCCGCCTCTCCCGGCCTGCGCACACACGGAAATCCGCCGAGAAGTAACTACGCTGAAAGCATCGCAGTTTTGTTACCATCCCTTAATCTGGCATATAGAAAGCAGGGGAGTGGGGGCTCATTAAAGAATAAAAAGAAAATCATCTCCACAGATGTGTGACCAAAGCCAAAGCAAGGCAGGGGAACCCGCATCCCCCCAGTCCTACTCGGAAACAGCCGCCGAGCGGAAAGGAAGAGAGCAAAAACCCAAAAGCTGCAGAAAGGGATCGGGCTCGCGGAGTGCTTTGCCCGGGGTTTAGCACGGACAAAACCAGCCACCGAATGCAGCCCCGAGAACCGAGAGATTCTCCTACGGACGGGACGGAAGGGAAGTGCCAGGTCGCCTTTTTGGCTAGGGACTCCCTAGCAGCGACTGCAACAGCTAATTATTTTCTTTTCAGTGCTCGGTTATTGCTGGTGTCCTCCCCGCCTCCCCTCCAATAAATAAATAAAACCCTCCTTTAGGCAGCGAGGCGTGAAAAATGATCCTCGCTGAACGCTTAAAAATAATGTCCCGTGAAGATCGAGGCCACGGAGCCAACCAGCCCCGTAATTAGGGGCCATTATTCGTCCTGCCTCGCCGAGGCAAGACTTCTCCCGAACCCCCCGAGCCGAGCCCGGCCAGGGCATTCTGGACCCCGTGGAGACCCTCGGGTCTTTCCCCGCCACCCCCCGCTCCGGCGGACAGGGGAGAGCCAGTTCCCTGGGGTCTCCGCCGCTCTCCCCTCGCCACCTCCCCGAGCGACGCAGATACTTGTAGGCGGCGTGAGTCTGTTCTGGGCACGGAATAAGCTGGGGTCCTTCAGGGAAATCTAGGGAGTGGGGAAAATTCTAATTTTAGAGGCGCTTGGGGATCTTCCCTCCAAAATAAAACCGCGCCGGTGCTGGCAGCCCCCGCGGGCCCCGGGGAACCGAGCCCGACCCTTCCTGCGTGGGTACCGCGACTCCCGATTAAGAGGGGAAAATCCCCCCGCTACCAAGTCAGTTCAGCTTCAGTCTCGGCCGGCGACCGCGGCTTAAAAAACCACAACGACTCTGCAAGGCAAAAGGAGATGAACGGAGCCGGGGAAAGGTGTCCCAGATCCCCCTCCAGAGCCCCCTCCCCTGAGCGTGTGGGGGCAGGGGGGCTCTCCAGGGAAACACCGCTTCCCTGTAGAGAGGACCCCCCTCCATCCCTCCAAACCCTGAGACCACCAACTTGGAGAACCCCTTGCACCAGCGGGACTGCAGGGGCCACACGCCTCCTTCATCCCTACGGGCACCGACTGCTATTTCTTATCCGCTCTTGCCACCCTTGGCTCCTTTTCTTCCTGCACTTCGCAAACAGACAAGCCAAAAATTATTAAAAATCGCTACTTTATATTAAAATAACCAGCCCCCCCTTCTTCCAGGCGCACAACCACCACCCAGCCTCGCTGCACATCGCTTTCTTCCCTCGGATCCCTTCTCCTCAAAGCAGGCTCGGTTATTAAAGGAGGCTGAACAAAGATAGCCCCGAGAGCAGCTATCAGCGCATTTTAACTTCATCAAAGACTTCGAGGGAGAGGGAGAGGAGGGGTCTGGCACCTTCTAGTAATGAGCTTGTCAGGAACACCCCTGCCAGAGCAATTGAACAATTTGCACACAAGCAAAAGAAAAGGAGAGGGGAGGGAGGGAGGGAGGAAGGGGAAATGCTACAAAAGCCCCTTCAATTTCCAACCATGTGCTTGGCAATCTGGAAAATAGATTCATTGGCCTCCTCTTTTCTCCCATGTCGAGTCTTGTAGCCCCTTTTGTAGGAGCTGGACATGAAAGGGAGACAACCAAGTGCCGGACACGAAGATCGCTTTTCAAAAGCAAATGTGTGTGAAGGCGAGATGTGAGACCGCTCGCTGCGGGGAGGCGGCACGTTCAGGAACAACATCAACAAACTGCGCGGAGGTTCGAGGTGGCACAGACAGAGGCAGAGGACAAAAAGGGGATGGGGAGGGGGAGAAGGAGAAAAGCAAAGCTGATCCTCCCTGCTCCCCCGGCGCACACCGCCCGGCTCCTGCCTGAGCCCCGGCGGGCCCCGCACAAAGCCCCGCTCGCCCAGGGACCGGCTCCGTCCCCCGCTCCCTGCCTCGTACGTCTCAGCTTTTTTTTTTTTCTTTTTCTGCTTCTTCAGCTGGCTGCCCGGTCAGAAAGGCCTCGATTCTTTCGATCAGGGTCCCTGCCAACAAACAAACCAAAGAGCCACGTTTGGTCCCTGAAATAAATAAATGGGGGGGGGAGAGAAGAGGGGGGAGTTTGGAGGAGAAGGGAGCGCTTTAAGATGTTTATTTACTTTGTAAGTTGTTGCAAAATTTAGGCAGAGATCAAGTTTCATTCAGTCATTCAAATGCTGCAGGCCCAAGGGGGACGTGTGTGCGGGGGGGAACCCTCCAACTTATTTTCTCATGTGTCAACTTTTCCAAACAAAATAAAAGGAGGTGGAGGGGCGGCGGAGGGGAGCGGTGGGGGGAGAGGGAGGGGGAAGAATAAGGGACAACCTTTCTCCCGGCCCCCACCTCTTTCCCCCTGGAAACACGCAGGGTTTTGGTTTCTGGGTGTCCCTTTTTTTTTTTTTTTTTCACTGGCAGTCACCAAAATCAGGGAAATTTTAAAAAATTAAATAAAATTAACAAAAAATAAAATATATATCCGGGGATCCTTTCCCTTGTAGGCCCGTGGACACACAGCGGGCACCTCCCCCGTGGCCCTGGCGGTGTGGCAGCCCGCAGGGGAGGGCAGGGAGGCAGCGCGGAGCAGCCCCGGCCGCGGAGGGGCCGCTCAGCCCCTGCCGAGCACCCGAGTGTCGCCGGCCCGAGCCACTCGCTTCCCCGAGGCCCGAGCGGGACTCTCGGCTCTCAGCGTGACAAAGGACATCGCAAAGAACGGTTTGGATTATTATTACCTTTTTTTTTTTTTTTTTTTTTTAACCAGGTCACAAACATTTATTAATTTACACCAACGGTGGACAAAATTCTGTTGCCTTTTCCACATCAAATTATTCACAGATTCTCTCAATAAAATAGATATGACGGATGCACAACCAGTGAAGAGTTAACTGGACTCCGCTCATTAGCTCCCGAATAATCTATATACAAATAATTACCAATACACCAAAAAACCCACGCACGGAGGGGGTGGGAAAACTGGGATAAAAAAAAAAAAAAAAGTAGTATGGGAATTTTCCAAACTTCCTGACGGATCGGATTTTCTTTTAAACGTGCATTTGACTGTCTCATTGGGGGAGGAAAAAAAGAAAAAGGAAAAAAAAAAAAGGAAAAAAATAAACCACGGTCCTGAGTTTCACCGACTTTTCTTCTTAAAAATAAAGTAACCTTAAACAGTGCCTTTTAAAACCAAACCCGAAGCTTCAAAGAAACTAAAAATAAGATCGAACCATTGAAACATTTTCTTTGAGAGCAGGGGAGAGACAGACACACATGGCAAAACCACCCGGGAGAGAGACTTGCAAGAACAAAAACGGGTTCGCTGCGACCAGGGGCATCCGCAACTCCCCTGGCCGCTTTCCCAGGTGATTTGGGGGACCCCCGCGGAAAACCCGCACCTCTCAAAGGAAACGTTTCCCACTCTTAGACCATTTCGTTCTTAACGTGCCCCCCCTTCACTCTTCGCAAGGCGTTGAGTGTTCAACCAGCCCAGGTCCCAGCTTATGTTACGGCCACTTTATAAATACGCTTTGGCGTTTCTGGGACCAAATCGCGTTATTCTTTCCCTCCTCCCACCCTCCCGATTTATTGATTTTTTTTTTTTTCCCCCGAGCAAAGAGAGACAAACAGATCTGGATGCCACTGAGCCTGGAAGTAAAGTAAAAATTAAAAAAAAAAATATTTCCTACCTTAAAACACAACAGAAGGAGATCGGGGAGGGGGGACACGGGGAGAGGGAAGGGGAGCAGTTTCGGAGGAAGGGGGAGAGCTGGAAAGGGGCCGTTTGCTTCGCGACTCTCCCCCCCTCTCCTCCCCTTCCCCAGTCCCCCGCACACTTTAAAAATGACAGCTGCTGAGGGTTGTGATTTTACTGGAAAAGTTCTGGGCCGGCTGGAGGAGCGGCTCGTGTGCCAGGCTGACCTGGGGCTGTGCCGGGGCCAAGGCGGGGCTGAGCACGGCCAGGACCTGTGCCGGGGGGCCCGCCTGGCCGGCGGGGTAGGGCGCGGCGGGCGCAACGCTGGGGTTGGTACTGGGCGGCGGGGGCACGGCCCCCCCGATGATGTTGTCTATGGAAAAAGAGGGCCGGGAGGGGTGGTTGGTGCCGCCGCTGCCGCCGCCGCCGCCGGCGGGCGAGGGGTCCGGCTTGAGGGTCTGGAGGAGGGCGGCGGGCAGGGCGGTGGGGCTCAGCTGAGGGTGGTAGAAGGACTTCCTGCAGTTCAGCTCGCCGCCCAGGAAGGAGGGCAGCCCCGAGGCGGCGGAGAAGACGGAGGCGGCGGCGGGAGGCGGCGGAGCCGGTAACGGGCAGTGAGGCGCCGGGAAGGGGAAGGCGCCCGCGGCGCCGCCGCCTCCGCCGCCGGGGTGGTGGTGGTGGTGGTGGGGGTAGCCCTGGAGCTGCAGGCCGTAGTTGTAGCCGTAGGGTCCGTAGGCGAAGCCGGGCAGGAAGGCGGCGGGGTCGGCGGCCCCGGCCCGCAGCAGCAGCTCGGGGTGCGGCGGGTGCAGCTGCTGCTGCCGCTTGAAGCGCTTTCGGCGGCGCAAGAAGCTCCCGTTATCGAACATGTCGGCGGACTCGGGGTCCAGCGTCCAGTAGTTGCCCTTGCCCGGGTTGCCGGGCTCCCGGGGATCTTGACGAAGCAGTCGTTGAGGGAGAGGTTGTGGCGGATGCTGTTCTGCCAGGCGGGGAACTTCTCCCGGTAGTACGGAAAGCGCCCGCTGATGAACTCGCAGATCTCACTGAGCGTCAGCCTCTTCTTGGGGCTCTGTAGGATGGCCATGGTGATGAGGGCGATGTAGGAGTAGGGCGGCTTCACCAGCGGGTTCTTCCCCCCCGCGCCGCCGCTGCCCGCGGGCGCCTTGTCCCCGGGCGCGGCGCCGCGGGCGCAGGCGGGCTCGGAGCCGCCGGCGGGGGACAGGCGCTCCGGGGACCCCCCCATGCGCGCCTTGGCGGCCCCGCTCCGCGGCAGCGCCAGCCCCAGCGGATCGCCGCCGTCCTCCTCGTCCTCCTCCTCCTCCTCGTCCTCGTCGTCGTCCTCCTCCTCGCTGTACTTGCCCCCATCCTGGGGCGGGCCCACCACGTCGATATCCGCGTCCTCCACCTCGGAGAGCGGCTCTTCCTCCGGGGAGCGCTCGGACATGATCCCGCAGCCGCCGCCGCCGCTGCTGCCCAAAGTCATTGTTGTGCGGCCGGGGCGGCCAGGGCCAGGCTCCCCACCTAGCGGCGGCTCCAGGATGGGCCCGGGGCCGTGCCGGAGGGCTGCGGCCGCCGCTGGGACTCCGCGCCCCGGCGCCGCCGCTCCGCTCCGCGCCCCGCTCGCCGCGCCGCTGCTGGCGGGGCCGCGGTGGTGGCTGCGGGGTGGTGGCTGCGGAGGGAGGGGCGGCGGAGGGGCGCGGGGCGGGGGCGGAGGGAACGGGGCGCCCGTGGGCTGGGCAGGGAGCTTGGGAGCAGCGATAATAAATAATGGTGATAATGATAATAAAAGGAGAGAAACGGGGGGAAAAAAAGAAAGGAAAAAAGAAAGAAAGGGGAAAAAAAGTGGGTTTTGCGGCGGCTCCGCGCCTAGCTGGGGGGAAGGGAGGGGGAGGGAGGGGCAGGGGAAGAGGGAGGGGGGAGGGCAGAAGTGGGGAAGGCGGCTCCCCCCTCCCCACCCCTCCCGAGCTGGGACCCGGTGGAAACGCTCCCACACTGCGCCTGCTGCCAGCGCTCCCCAGGCCTTTATACGGCCGCCCCGGCATCACGTGGCGCCCGCTGCAGCCCCCTCGGGGCACGGAGAGGGGCTGCCCGGCCCAGCCCGGTCCCCGGGGAGTGTGTTCCCCGCCCGGGATGCTTTCGAGGAAAGGCGCTGCCCATTCCCCTGGCGCTCGGTTGCCCCCGGCTTCGTCTGGAGTCGATTGCTTCAGGAGAGGGGGTCGGCGCTGGGTAAAGCCCCTCCCCGCTCCTAGTGCCCCGCGGTGCTGGAGGCTCGCAGAGCCCATTCCTGCGGGATGCGACGGCCGGGGGTCCCCGGAGGGTCCCCTTCTTCCCTCGAGGGCTACCCATCCCCGAGTCTGGGCCCTGAGCTGCAAACCTCCAGCGGTCTCACCGACAGGCAACCCTCACTCCGCCAGGACCGAACCCTCGGCCCCTCTGAGGGGTCGTGTGAATTTGGGGATCCTCGCTCCCCTTCTCACGTCACCGACGCGTCACCGAGCCCGGGACACCCTGCCTGGAAACCCGCCTCGCCCGAGGGCTCGCACGGCCCGCACCCGCGGAAAGGATGCTGCCGCCCGGCAGGTGCGGGGCGGAAGGCGAGCGGTAGCGCTCAGTCAACCCTCTCCCCACGCGAGAAATAACCAAAGCAAAGGCTGCGTGTGTCCTCGGAGTGCTGGGACGGCACCCGAGTCTCGCACCTCCGCCCGGCGAGGCTGGCTCGGCCGGGTACCACTTTCCGAGGCGGCCCACCCGCCGCTCGTCCAGGCCCCAGGAACCCTTGGGAAAGGGGAGTATCCTGCGGCCTCGGGATCGCCTGTCTGCCGCCCTCCTGCCTCCCCTCCCCAGCGGCTGGCAGGCAGGAGGTGGCGGGCAGCGTACACCCACCCACCTTGCCGCGGGCTGCAGGCGAAGCGGGAGGATTTCGCTGTAAACAGAGTCCCCCAAGGCCCCTCAGAGTCACAGAAGTTCCCCCGCGTGTGGCAGAGCCCCGCTTCCCTGCTTGCAGCCGCCCTAGTGCAGTTTGGGGGACACGTCCACAGCTGAAACCGCCCACCCCATGTCCCGTGGGTGGCAGTGGCAGCAGGTTGATCCCATCTCTGCCGCGGACACGCCGAACCACGCTCTCAATGTTAGTTTTGGTTTGGTTTGTTCTTGTTTGGTTGGTTTTTGTTGTTTTTTTTTTCCCCGTGGAGGCTCTGGAAACACGTAACCGCTTTCCCGGGGGAGGATGCTTGGGAAGGGAGGAAGGGGATGGGTTCCTCCAAGGGGGTACCATGAGGAGATGTCCCCCCGTTAGGGCCGCGTTCGGCAGTGTGAGAATCCGCGGTGATGAATTGCCAGTCTCTGCCGTTAACAGGTGCGAGCATTTGGCGATAAAATCTCCAGCACTAATACCGGGGAGCCGGGCCAAACAGCTGCGCGGCCCCGCTTCCAAATGCCGGTCACAATTACTCAAGCCCTAACGACTCGGTGCACAGGCTCGGCGAATTCGGGGGGACCCCGAGGAGAGGGCAGAAGCGGACATCTTCGCCCGCGCATCTCCAGTGGAAGCAGCGATTGCAGAGCCGGAGCCTCTGCGCGGTGCCGGTCACATCCTCTTTTCCCTCACCGCCAGCGTGGCCATCGAGGAGAATTTCTCGACCAGAGGGGAAAAAAAAGAGATGAATAAGTGTGCTGAGAGTTTCTCGGGAAGGTGGGAATTCTGTCCCGTGGGCGCGTGTCAGTTCTGGGGGAGCTTTCCTGAGCTTTCGCTTTTACACTTCAATGCTATTAACCTGCGTTTACAACACATTCGCATACATCTCCCCTTCATACATGTATGCATATATTTAACTAGACATACATTTATATTCTTTTATTTCTGATACATATTTTTTCCTATATATAATTAGCTAGCACGGAGAAAAGCTTCGGAGATGCCACATCTTTCCTACCGACATTGTTTAAACTCTCCATTCATCAGCCCGGTGGAAAGACGATGGGAAGAACAAATGGAAGAGAGCGGAGAGGGGAAAGACCCGAGCCGCTTTCCATTTTTATTAAGTAAAATAATAGTTATGCCTCTCCTACATAAACGAAAGTGTCATAAAAAATTCCGAAGCAGCTGCCAGAGATTTCGACCACACACACAACGGGGCGATTGAATTTCTGCTTGGTGCATTTCATGGCAGCGAGGAACCGCCGGGAGCTGCGCCTTGTGCCTCTGCAGGGCGGTGAAGGGGAGGGCAGGGAGGGGGCAGCAAAATGACGCGCTGCGAGTGGACGAGGGCAGAGGACATCGCCCGGGGGATGCTCCGGGGGGAAAGATGCTCAGCCGCCCCCGCGGCGCCCGGTCGCAGGGCGACTGTCTCCCGATCGCTCTGTCTAGAGGCTGTTCTCGCACGGCTCGAAGTGAAACAGATGTGGGTGTGTGCTGCCTGCTCCCGCAAACCCCCCCACCCTCGCCCTGCCCCCGCTGCCGGCTCCCCCCCCTGTCTGGAAGGGTGGGCAGACCGCGGGGGGAGCCCCCAGCAACGGGGGGCTCGGGTGGAGACGTTTGCTGCTCTACTCATGGTCACTGGGACCGCGACGAGGCCGAAAATGTAGAGAGGAGACGAGAAGGGTTGATCCGATGTGGCTGTTGATGGGATGCGGCCGGTGGCTTGTCCTGCTCCCGCCTGGACCTGGCTTTCCCCCTCAGCATCGCGCTTCCAGAGCGCCGCAGCTCGAGAAACAGCAAGTCCCGATCAGCCACCATCGACACGATTCCTGCCTGTTTCAAGTCACAATATTGTTCCCGTTGAAGTCGGAAACGAACCAAAATGAAAAGACAGTGAATGAGTCCTGCTCCCTCCATCTCCGAGCGGCTCCTGTTCGCCGAGGCAATCTTAGCCTCGGCTTTGCCACGCAAGATTGGCTGCAGAAACGAATCAAAACGAGAAAAAGTACCTAAACTACACCCGTCCCGAAATGATTTAGAAAAGGGAAACCCTGGACAGAAACAAACCAGATGGTCGGATCCCAGACACGGTGCACTCGCACACACACTCCCGCCTGTGCATCCACACACGGAGCGAGGGTTGTGTTTTAATGTGCGCCGGGGTAAGAAATGATGTGGTCTTCCGAAAGAGAAACACTATTGATCTACCCGACGAGATTGCCTTGTCATCGCCACGCCGATCCCTGGCGTGCAGGGCTCGGAGGGAAGCATTTTTCCTTGGGCAGATTTTTAATTTTTCCGCTCTCCTCTCTGCAGTATTTCCTTACAGACAGCCTCGCCTCCCGTTTGAACCCGACTCTGCTTTACATTTCACTTTAAACTGAGGAATCAAACGTGAGTGGGGCTGTGTGCTGGTGGAGTGGAGAAAGTCTCCAAAAAGTCTCAATAGTAGAGAAGAAAAATTAAATAAAGGCCGTCGGCCGATCATGATCATTTTTTTTTTTTCTTCTTAAAACTGATTTTCCCTGTCTTTCCTGCCTGTCTTAATGAGGTGTTTGATCCAGGCGTGTTGGGTAGGTGTTTGATGCCCTGCTGACGGCTTTAGCAGGTGATCCCCACGGCCGAACTTTGTCTCCATCCCTCATCCCCGGATCTCCCTGTGCCTCCGCCCGAGTCGGAGCCCCCTGCAAACTGCAAAACTGGCCGCAACGACCAGGCACTTTTTTTTCCCCCACAGGGAAAAACTCGTTCCCTGCCCATCCTCCGGGACCGTTGTTTGCCGGGGGATGTAGCAGAGGGCAGGGAGACCAAACCCCGGAGCACGGCGGGGTGCGATCACTGCTTCTGCCCTGGCACTGATCATGTCCGCGCCCAAGGGAGCTGCTCCTGCCGGAGCATCTCCCGGCGCGGGGGTTTAGCTGGGGGCAAAGCCCGGGAAAGCAAAACCCTTGGGCAGGGCAGAGGGTTCAGCTTCAGTCCAGCCCACTTTGATCCCAGACCCTTCGAGATGATCTGTTGGTTCTGTGATACATAATCGTTCTTGTTGCTTCTGTCGAGCAGCATCTAAATTCGTTTATTCTGATGAGAACCGCATCTACAAGTACCCCAAGGCTCAGTGATGGATTTCTCTGTATTACCTCGTTATCAAGCTTGGCTGACCTCTAACTTCTCTGAAAACATGAACAAGACAGACCTGCTGCTGCCTGGGCTGCCCCAGGGGGCTCTTTTTCCACTTATGTGATTTCCTTTGATATTATTTCTCTTCTTTCCATATCCAAGGCTCAGACCTTCAGTGCTCCCTACAGTTCAACCTTTTTACCAGTTCTATACTGCCAGCTCCCAGCTTGCAAAGATCAGTTTGCAGTCTGCACATCAAGAGCTCCCAGCGCAGGGGGGGGGGTTCAGTGGGAATGATGGTGACAGATAGTGACAGATAAATGAAATTCCCAATTTGGAAACCGGCGGAGCCAAGTGCCAATATCCATCCCTGCAGTGTTCAGATGTTGGACAGCTCGGTTTTGTTGACTTGGCTTTTCAAATGCAGGTGTCTCAAAGTCCACACCAAAAA